GGCAACCACATGTGACGACCCCGGGCTGGACTCCGCTTCGTCCACGATGAAAGTCGATCCGGCGATCCACAGCATGAAATTCATGTATTTCATTAGCGACCAGCTCGGATCAGCTTCAGGCATGACGAAGCGGATATCGTCCTCTTTTGGAAGGCCAAACAAAGTAATTTCGCTTTCACAACGAAACACACAGCGCCTTCACGAAATGGTGGCGGCGGCAACAATACAACAGCGAGAATAAAAGTTATGCCTTCTTTTGCGTGAACATTTGGGCGGCGTTATGCAAATCTTCCCACATCGTGACGTAGACATGTGGGGGCATGTTAGAACGAGCCATTTTAGGAAGGCGGGGTTGACTCTTTAACTTTTATAAAGAATATCTCTTTGGATTTGAGACTTTAGTCTTTGCAACTTTACAGATCTTATTTATGCACCAAAAGCTTGTAACACTCCAAAGAGAAAGGAAAAATTGAAATCGCTTCATATGACCCCTTTAATAATGCTAACTGTCCCACCCGCTGAAAGCTGCGTGGAAAAAAACAAAGTAACCAGCTAAATGTTTCATACTGGCTCTTGGCACAGGAGAACAACATCTTCTATAAAACAAAGTATATGTTTCAGTCCTGTCGCTTTTTTACATACTTTTACACTTTTTCTGCTGTTCAAAAAAATCTTTCTTTTCGCTATTACCACAATCAAGCTATGTAGCAGTTTGAATCTGAGTTATTAGCTCTACATTATCAGTTTGCTGTCGTGACTCAGGCGAACAGCACTGAACGCGCACTTTTCGGTACAAAAAATGTATTATTTAAAACCTTTTATCAGCTTATGTATTCTCTACAACCAATGAATTGCTGATCTCTAGTGATGTATAATTTTTGTAATAGATCATTTGTTGGTAATGGGTATGAGATCTGGCGAGCCACATGATTTTTGTCAAAGAGCCAGGTGTGGCTCACAAGCGTTGTTTTTCAGGACCCTTAAAAAAATAAAGTTGCTGCTGTGCCTTCTTGATCAGCATAGTGGTGTTTGATATAGTGCATAATACACAGCATAGTGATGTGGTTATGATATTTTAATTCAAATGACTTTTAAATATATGTTAATATTGCCTGGCCCTGTGCACATCCTTTGTTATTGCATTACTCTTTTGTATTATTTTTTATTTTTAAATTGACAGGTGAGTCAAAATCTGTCAACAAAATTTGTGGCATGATGTCATGTCAAAGGAAATGACAAGTGGTTTATTTGATCCCATGTTTTCCTTCAAACCCCTCTCTTCCGCCTCTCCTTCAGTTTCTCTCTTTGAAGTGAGAGTTCTTATGAATCATGTCTGGAGTGGTTCTTACAAGACATGAACCTTTTCTCTGAACTCGGCACTACTTAACTATCTCTCAACACAACATCAATCGCCTGTGTGTTTGCATTGTGGTGGGTCAATATGGCTCCCTAGCCACTTTCCTAATTAGCTTACGAGTATGCTGCCAGATGCTTGTTTACTTGGGGTCACACAGCTCTGTGGCACGCAGCCCCCTGTATTTGCTTTTAATTCACATGTGTCAGGGTGCTTTCGCTTCTCCTTGTGAGAAATGCTTTCTTGCTCAGGGTGGAGCCAGTATTTAGAGGCTTGCTGTCGTACCTCATGTCCAGCAAATTCTGCATTTTACTTAAGCGGTTGGAAGAAAACCACTGGATACCAATGTTTTGTTGTCTGCAATTGTCCATCTTTTGCGTATCTCTAGAAACTAGTTTGCCAAGGGAGGCAGGGCACTATGAAGCAGAAGTGAGAAAAATAATCTGCTTCTAGGTGGTCATCAACACAAGGAGACGGGTTTTGATTGGATTTGCAGAGACTGAGTGAAGAATTCAGTTCAAATCCAGAATTAACTTCCCTTTTACTTAGGAGTTGACGTGTCGGGAAGAGCTGCTTACACTCTTGTTGTCTCTGCTACCTCTGGTCTGGAAGATTCCTGTTCAGGAGGAGAAAGCCCCAGGTGAGTCACTTCATTTTATAAAGCCCTTTAATAATGCATGCTATTAGCAGTCTTAAATTTGAGAATGCACTCGAGGTATACTCTAACCCACCTTAAACCTTAAATTAAATAATTATGTGCTAATATTAAATTACATTCTGGGATTACATTTAGTTGGAAAGATTATATACTTTTACACAATTTGTTTTATAAAGCATATGATGACAGTGATCTCGTGAGGACGCCATGAATTTTTAAGTAGCTGCCTACAGAAACAACAAGTGAAACCTTGAGATGTCTTGAATTATGAAACAGTATGGTTAAAAGATGATGGAAAGGATAAGACTTTTCATTGCTCTTGAGACCTAAGGTATTTAGTGCAGGCATGCTAATCTTTTCTAGCAGCTGCTTTCCACATTGTTGAGTTATTAGTTCCCGTAATTGTGTTGTAAACAGACCTCTCGAGGTCATCGAGACTTGCTCTGATGAAACCAGATGAAACCAGTCCATCTTATATCTGGTTGATGCTATTTAGGACAATCATTTTAATCAATTTTAATTTCCTACTCTGCTTTTTTTATCTTAGATTTCACCCTGCCTTCACTACTAGAGGTGTTTCTATGCCAAGAGGGAAGGACCATCCCTCAAAGGGCGGGGCAAGATATATGTGATGTGGAGAACTCTGGGAAGCGTTTATCTGGCTCCTGGAAGTCACGTCGTTCACGTAGAACAGCTCAGCGATACTCTGTGAGGGATGCACGCAAATCTCAGCTTTCCACATCAGATTCTGAAGCCAACTCGGATGATAAAACCACAAATACTGGGAGCAAACATCGCCGATTCCACAGTTCGGCCGTTCGTGTTAGTTGCCAGCATCACCAGTCCAACAATCCATCACAGCCAGCATCGCAACATCCCACTCTTGATGCCATGAGCTCCATTGAGCCATCCGAACCTCACAGACTGTTTGGATCTCACACGTTAGATCCTAACATGCTAACAGACCCCACCACTCTCTCCATCTTCAACCGCATGGAGAACTCGCCTTTTGACCTTTGCCATGTTCTGCTCTCTCTTCTTGAAAAAGTCTGCAAATTCGACATGACCATCAATCATAACCCAGGCTTGGCGGTCAGCGTTGTTCCCACGCTCACAGAGATACTCACAGAGTTTGGTGACTGCTGTAGTCCCGGTGAAGGTGGTGGAGTTGGGATCGATGAACTAGCTGGAGGCTGGACTGAGGAGCCAATTGCACTTGTTCAAAGGATGCTTTTACGCACCATTCTGCACTTGATGTTTGTAGATGTCGGTCAAAATGAGACACTGCCTGATAATCTGCGTCGCAGCTTGATGGACCTCTTCAGAGCAACTTTAAAGATTCGTACGTGTTTAGAAAGGCAAGCCGACCCTTTTGCGCCAAGGCCAAAGAAGACTCTGCAGGAGATACAAGAGGATTTTTCCTTTTCAAGGTACCGTCACCGGGCCTTGCTACTGCCAGAACTCTTGGAGGGTGTCCTGCAGTTACTACTAGGCTGTTTACAGGCCTCTGCTCCCAACCCTTTCTTTTTCAGTCAGTCTCTTGAGTTAGTTCATGAATTTGTCCAACACCGTGGCTTGGAGCTCTTCGAGGCAACAGCTCTGCGCCTTGAGGCCTTAGCAGAAGCTCGAGATTCAGAAGTCGCCAGTGAGGCATCAGAGCGTCTGCGTTGTCTGATAGCAGATGTACTTAAGATAATCAGTGCGGTCAAGAGGGCCAAGTCAGAGCAGCTACACCAGTCTGTTTGTGCACGTCGTCGACATCGTCGCTGCGAATACTCACACTTTTTGCACCATCACCGTGACCTCTCTGGACTGCCGGTATCCACTTTCAAGCAGGCAGCCCGACGTAATCCCTTTGAAGAGGACTCAGAGGGTCATGACGGGGAAGTGCGGTACCCCGAACGCTGTTGTTGCCTTGCAGTATGTGCCCACCAATGCTTGCGTCTTTTCCAGCGCCTCTCACCCTCCGGTCCTGCTGTGCTGCAAGTACTGGCAGGAGTGCAAGCTGTTGGCATCTGTTGCTGCATGGATCCAAGGTCCGTAATTGGACCAATGCTCCAGGCATTTCAGGCTCCAGGACTTCGGAGCTACCAGTCCCACGTGTTGAGCGTCCTTAGTAGACTAGTCTTAGAACAGCTTGGAGGTGGTCAACCTTCCAAAAAGGCCAAGCTTGCCTCCTGCAACATTTGCACTTTGGATAATAGCCAGTTACCTGGCCTTGAAGAGACTCTGGAGGGCTATGGACCTAAGAAAGAATCAAACTTATCCATGTCCCAATCTCCCTCTTATCGTTCCCAAGGTATTCTGCCCAGTGGAGGAGCTGAAGACATGCTATGGAAGTGGGATGCTTTAGAGGCCTATCAAGAAATTGTGTTTGGGGAAGACTGGCATTTGAGTCAACAAATTGCCGGTCATGTATGCCAGTTGACTTTACGAGGCAATGCAGTAGTGCAATGGCAACTCTACACTCATATTTTTAACCCAGTACTTCAGCGGGGTGTGGATCTAACCCATCATGCCCAGCAACTTGGTGTGTCAACTACTTGTAGCCAAGTCTGCAGCTACCATACCCATTGCCTCCCGGTTGAGGTACTACTGGTTTATCTTCAAACTCTGCCTGCTCTGCTAAAGTCAAGGTATGACCATGTTTTTTCTCTCTCTTACTCCTCTAATTCACTGTTGTTTAGGTTCTTTAATGGGGCTTTGACACTGAGCACGTTTACTGCGGTCCAAATCTGAGTGAGGCGCCTTCTGCAGTGTCTGACTGGTTTCTCACTTGATTCTGTCGAACCCTGGTGCATTTGAGTTCATCTTATGCCATAACAAATTTTCACTGCGCATGATTGAAAACCCAACGTGGGTCAATATATTTTTATTAATTAGGTGCTATTATGCACAGCAGAATGAACAACGCTTGTGTCTACTGTATGTGCGTCGCATGAAGATGCCATTCTGCTACTTGCAAACAGTCTCTTTTGAGGAGACAGTTGATTGCAAGCCATTCGTTTGCTGCTCAGATTGCACTCACTTTGCATGATTACACTGCATACTCACTCTCACTTGTATCCAAGGTAAATCATCACCCGTGCCATTCATTTCCTTTGCAGCTGAACTTAGATCACCTCCTACAGGTAGTTTCCAGTTCGATAATGCAGTGCACTCCCAGGTCTGCATGAAAACTTTCACATTAACAATTTTTCATGCAACCCATCCTCTGTTTTGAACTAAAGTGCCAGTGTGAAAGTCCCCTATATCAGCCTTTAAAATAATCAGAGATTCCAATGTCCTTTCAGAATTTAACTTCTGATTTTGTATTCCAACTCAGCCAGGTGGTACGTGACCTGTTCCTGAGTTTTAACGGACTAAACCAAATCACTGAGTTGATCTACTTGGATTGCACTCGTCCATGGGCACTGAAAGTGTTCGAGACACTTATTTTGAATGCGTGGCACCATCACATGGATTCTGCTGTACATGAGCTAGAAAGAGCGGAAGCTCAGGAGGGGGAAGCTGTTCTTGGGCTTGTAGAGGAACTGAGTTCACGTGGGGCTTGTGATGGACCTCAAAGCCTCACTAAGTTTTATGAAGGCCTGAAAGAGGCATGCCCTCACCCAAAGGGCAAATGTGCATTTTCTGCAGTAGGGCGTAACCGAGGTGAGACGCATTTAAACACAATCAACCTTTTTCTGTGTGTTGCCTTCCTATGTGTAAGCAAGGAGGCGGACTCTGACAGAGACTCTGCTAATGACTCTGAAGACACCTCTGGCTATGATAGTACAGCTAGTGAGCCATTGGGTGGGCGACTGCCCTGCCTTTCCCCAGACAGTGTGGCTCTTCCCTCTAAAGAACAGATAAGGAGGGCTGCCGATGTTTGGTCAGTATGCCGTTGGGTATACATGGCCAGTCCAGTATTCCAGAGGCAGTTCTTTAGACTGGGAGGTCTAGATGTCTGTTTGCGTCTAATGACAATGGTCATCCAGAAACTCACGTCTAAAATCAAAGAAGGTAAATTTAAGAAAAAGAGAGAGAGTAAGGGCAAAAGCAGTCCATCTCATGTAGACTCTCCCACTCAAGTTCTTACAGGACATTTTGACAATAAAGCGATAGCTGCAGGTACAGAGGAAACCCGCCAGCATGACACTCTCAGCCCCTCTCAGGTCGAGAGCAAGTCAAGTGACCCAACGCACAGGCTTGAAGAGGAATGGCCTCTCCAGAGCATCCGACTGCTGGAGGCGCTTTTGGCAATCTGCCTCCACAGTGCCAATTCAGCCCTACAGAGATTTGAACCAGACCTTTCCTTTCAGGTACAGTGGACACACTCTAGCTCTGTTTCAAACCCTGGTGAGCTGCTTTATAATTGTCTGGAACAAGTCCTGTGTGAACAGGTCACTACTCAAATTAAATGCCCAAGAGACAGTGTACAGTGTGACATTAGCATGCTGCTAAGCTAACAACTCAGAACCCCTAAAGTAGGGTGACCATACGTCCTCTTTGTCCTGGCCGGGATTTCTAAATTGCCTAAAATGTCCGGGTTTTGGCTTTGTTTTCCTATTGACGTGCTCTCTAGAGTCCTCATACATAATATGTGCTTGTATTTGCATTGCTTTGACCATTCTCTAGATCCCACCTTCTCACACTCCACGATTGGTCGATCATGTACAATGCCGGTACGTTTTTGGTCAAACTACTTTTCAGTCATTACCTTCAGCAAGTATGAAAACAAAGCCCAGATTTTTTAGGCAATTTAGAAATCCCGGCCAGGACAAAAAAAAAGAGGACATACGGTCACCCTATACCTAAAGCCCAAAATATACTTCAGATTTGACGAGAATGCTTAGTGTATTCATATAGCAGAACGCATAGCCTTTTAAAGTATACTCTCTTTGATAGCGTACATAAACACAGGTGCTCAACACATGCATATTAAAAAGCTTCATCCTCTTTTTGCCCTATAAAACAGGACTTTGCTCTTGTTTAAACTACAGTTGTGGGTATCTGCAGTCGCAAACATGGGTTGTTGTTGTAGTTGTTGCATCTGTAGTAGTTTGTTGTTGTTCTGTCTCATTTGTTTCTTTTTCGACTGAGTAACAACATCCCACCCACCTTGTGGACAAAGTAATTAATGCAAAAATAAATAAATAAATCAAGGAGCATGTGCAAGCAAAGCATACGGAGTGAAATCTGGCTATACATATTTGACCATATGTGTTAAGACCGAAGTACACGTTGGGCTTAAGCACAAAAAATCCATTGACAATACTGTGAATTCAGTAATAATTGTCAGTTTTATTAGATTTAAGACATTTTGTCCAATGATTTTTCTTTTTATTGAGCTCATTGCACTGCATTCTGCAATTACCTTCTTAATAAGGGAGAAATGTAATGTTGCATCAGGAGCCTTAAATGATGCCTGAAAATGCTGTCAGTGTAGGCACACTAGGTTTTGGAACACAGCTATTGACTGCCATTTTGAAGTGAGTGACTATGTCCTGTGCTCATTCTCGACTAGTGTAATTTTCCCACGCTCTATCCCATAGCTTCAGTCAGTAGAGGAGACGCTGTGTGAGGTCAGGGATCAGCTCTCTCAATCTGGAGTTGTGAATTCCGAACTTGCAGTTCCTCTGTTTGATTCCTTACTACATGTGGCATTAGCGGAGATGTTCTGCAGTCCAGATGTCATCAAGGAGAAACCTGACAAGGTAATTTGGTTGCTTGTGTAATAAGTCTGTAGTGTTCCCGTCCTGTACATCCCTGCTGTACGTTTGGGTGACTCAGGTTTGAGTCTGATCCTCACCACACTGCCCCTCTTTCGTCTCACACAACCACATGCTTTCCTTTCACTGCCTGCGGTCTAAAACTTAGGAAAGTTAATAAAATAATATTAACTTTTGGTGACTAAATACAAAATCGATAGGGAGGTTGCAAGATTTATATAACTAGCTTAGTTGATGCTTTCAGTTGCATTGAGGGCTTTTCTTACCAGCAGTATTGTCTGAAGTGGAACACATCACAGAATAATTCCCAAATAAAACTTATCATTTGGACACAGTAAGATTTATTTTGGCACTCTTTAGTTCTTTAAGTAAATCTGCTTTCTGACCTCTGGCCAAAACATGGATAAACAGCCTTTTTGTGTGTATTTGTGTGGTTGAGTACTGTGGGGCACAAGGGGGGTATATTTTATGTGGAAACAGTCAGCTGATGTGGTCCTGTGACCAAAATCATATTTTTCTTTTTTTTACTTTACCAGCTTTCTGAAATCACAAACATTGTCTCTCTAACAAATACAACACTAGAAGCAATGTTATAAGGATTGTTTACTTTAATTTGTTGCAATGCAACAGTACTTTATTCTGAAATGCGCTCATTTTCTAGAAGGTAAGAATCTGCTGCCTGCTTTGCTTTAATCTACTTTGCTACTGTTGTTTGTTTATTTATTTATATTTCTTTTTTAAACTTCTGATATGTTGTGCTGTATGGAAATGAAAGCTCTCAAATTTAGAAGTGGTTACTTTGTGTGCTTGTTTTTTTTTTTTACTTTGATGAACACAGTCCTTTTATTTATTTATTTTTATTAATAAATAAACTAATAATAAAAACAAGTTTTTATTTGTTACCAAATGGTAAAATTAGTGTCTTTGCAGTGCTTTGAGGTATTAGGCTGACGCATAGGAGCATGCTTATCATTGCAGTGCAGCGTTTTACACACAATTTTCACTGGTCTTACAAAGTTTGTACAATCAAATCATAATCAGTTCTTCTCTGATCTATTCTACACAATGCTTCAGAAAAACCATAATGAAAGTGCAAGTGAAGACAAAACAGGAAGTGAGGCAGTATCTGAGCAAAGGTTTTGAATATCCACATAAAGCTTGTCTGGTACAATTCCCTGATAATGCCGCATACAATTGGTTACTTGATGGTTTCTAAATTTGGTACCACCTATTGATCTAAAATTATACATTTCTTGTCACTTGTCATTTTATTTATAATTCATCCCTCCATCTAGTAGTAGTAGTAGTATAATAATAATAAAGTATATTTTATTTCATCATAGGTAACACTTTACAATAAGGTTCCATTAGTTAATGTTAGTTAATACATTAACTAACATGAACGAACAATGAACAATACATTTATTACAGTATTTATTCATCTTTATTAATGTTAGTTAATGAAAATACAGTCGCTCGTTGTTCGTTCATGTTAATTCAGAGTGCATTAACTAATGTTAACAAGCACAACTTTTGATTTTAATAATGCATTAACTAAGATTAGGGCTGGGCGATATAGCTAAAATATTTATCAACAATATAATGTTTCATATCATTCGGTATCGATAATTATTGACTTTTTTATAACCTTTTGTAAAACAAAGAGCAATAGAAAAAAATGTAAAAATTTAACCACTGTATTTTTAAATAAACCCAATTTATTGAGACAAACAACAAATATTTTTGTTTTAACAGTCAAACACACAATAAAAATTCAACAAATATCTAATTTCTAATGATTTATATGCAGATTAAATAGATCTTAAGGAAACTTTTGGCTTGTCTCCCGAGGCCACAGGAGGGCACAATGAGCAAAATAATGCAGCACATGTAAAAGGTCAACGCAAGGAAATAAATGTCTATTAAAAAAAAACTGCATTACGTCTAAATTAACTCATATAAATCAAATATAATTTCGTAAATTGCATAAACAATTATGAACAAAACAGCATCATGTATTTATGCATTACTTAATACAAAGAGCCGAATCGCCCATCACGCAGATTGCATTTAACATAGACGCAGTGAAAATGAATAAACCTCCACAAATTCGCAACGTGTTTTCTAAAAGTTTAAACTGTTTTAACTTTGCATGGCTACATGTCTTGTGTGAGACGCTGAAAGCTAAAAATACGCTGAATATGCATCTGTGTGAATGGCTTTGGTTTCGGTTTTCACCTAATCAAGATCTTCTCCGCATTGAGCTTCTATATTTCTCTTAATATTTTGAATGCATAACACAGCAGCGGTGCATCTCATGGGCTAGACTAACAACAAAACATAAAAATGCAACAACGTCACTTACATCATTATCACTGCATCTCGTGCGCCACTGATGACGCTCCCTGACGCACTCCAAACAGTTGAATGCAAATGTTTATTTTAAATTCGACTAATATTCATTTTTTTTATTCACAATCTCCTCATCACATGCAGGCACAGCACTCAATTCAGCATGTGTTCGTGTTTGTGTGTGCTGTCTGCGTCACTCATAGCATGTGCCTATGTCGTGCACTATATCGAACATTTTTTTATATCGTTATCGAAGAAGGTGTACCGTCGATAAATATCGATACCGTTTTATCGCCCAGGCCTAACTAAGATTAACAAAATGCTGTAGAAGTATTGTTCATTCTTAGTTCATGTTAACTAAAGTAGGTAACTAATGTTAACTATTGAACCTTATTGTAAATACATAAAAAATTATACATTTTATAAAATAAAAAATTGTACATTAATATTTAACTATATATTTTATATTGTTTTTTTATTATCATCTCTCAGTCTAGTATTGTTGTTATTAGTAGAGTATACTTCAGGGGTGCCCAACCCTGCTCCTGGCAATCGACTGTCCTGCAAAGTTCAGCTCCAACCCTAATCAAACACACCTGATGCAACTAATTAGGGTCTTCAGCATCACTTAAAAATTAAAGGCAGGTGTCTTTGATTAGGGTTGGAGCTAAACTTTGCAGGACAGTCCATCGCCAGGAGCAGGGTTGGGCACCCCTGGTATACTTGTATTTGAATAATCCTATTAATACATTTAATATTTTATTATATTATAAAAATGTTTAATCTATTTTATTTTAATTATTTCTTAATTTCTGTTTGTTTTATTTTATATTATAATCCATCCTTCCATCTAGTACTGATCTTTATGTCGTTCTGTGCAGAAGTCTCAGGTTAGCGGTGAGGTGGCACCTCCAGCAGGTGATCTGTCAGAGGAGGTGGATGAAGCTCAGGTGAGTGGCGCTCCACCCTTGGGAGAAGAGGAAGGCTATGAGGCAGACAGTGAAAGTAACCCTGAGGACTCCATCCGTCAGGAGGAAGGTAGTACCACTCATTTATACTGACATGAGAGTCTGCATTGTGCTGGTCATTTGTGTGCTGACACTTGTGTTTAACTGTAGAGTGTATGTGCATATTATCCAGAGCCAAAAGAATCTTGTGTAGGTTGTTGGCTTTAAAGGCTCATTATGTTAATGTTAACATCCTGAAATGAGAGTGCAAACTAATTATCATCACAGTTAGCCAGGCTGAGAAGTGCATAGTAACTGATAGCAGGGGAAGTTTCTAGAATGCGTTAGCCGGTCTGAGCCGGTTAGTGTCAGGTAGGATGAGTGAACGTCTGGTCAAGCGATACGTGATCCTGTTCTCTAGTCACATGCAGTGCTGGCTCTCTCGCCCTGATAATGGTGTCATTGTTTCCTTTGGCTATGATGTAAGACTGCCGTGTTGAGCCATGTCTTGTGACTGCAGCTTCTGACCAGTCTATTACATACACCGATATGTGCATGATTTTGTAAGTTCACTCGCTTTCACACGAGGGCTTGTGGTTGATGTAATTTATAATGGAGGGAGCTGAAGGCAATACTTGAAATGGCAGAGTCCGGTCTGTGTGTTTGCAGTCTGACTGTGAAAGTGAAAGAGAACTGAATGTGGTTTAGAATAGATAGTGGAGTTTGATTTCCGAATCTGTTCTGTTAATCCACTGATGTGACAATACTGTAATTTCATTCATTTAGACAAAGAAACATGCCTATCACTCATGTCTACTGTCTGTCTGTCTCTCTCTATTGTTTTATCCATCGTTCTCTCTTTATTTGTCTATCATGTTTGTCTTTCTATCGTTTTATCTATCTATGTATCGTTCGTTTGTTCGCTTTTCTTTCGCTGTGTCTGTCTATAGGCCTATATGTGTTTCTAGTGTTGTCAGAAGTACAGATGTCGGTATCAGTGGGTACTTGCATGTTAAAAATGTGATGATACCAGCATTTCCCGCTAGCATTTTGAGCACTGTTGTGTGGATTCTCAAACACCTCTGATTGGCCTTTGTGTTCACGCGCTCAACAGATATGTCTGTGATTGGCTACAGGGATCATCGCTTCATGCTCTTCACTGAGCGCTTACACAGATACACACGGGAAACGGATACAGTAGCGGGAAATGCTGGCATCATTACTTTAAAATTTCAGTACCGACATCGGTACTTTTGACAACACTGTGTTTCTAAATGTCTTTCTATTTTATTTTTATCTATCTGTAACATTGTCTCTATCTTTCTATCTATCTATCTGTCTTTCTGTCTGTCTATTTATATAGGCTATGTGTGTAGGGATGTTTGTGACAGAGTGCGCTGTGTGTGTGTGTGTGTGTGTGTGTGTCTGTGTGAGGCAGAACTTCATTAATGAAAAGCACCCAGATCTTGCGTAGG